CCCACCTCAGATTGTTCAAGAAATAGCAGAGGGGGTGGCTATGTTTGGAACTTCCTTGTATACTGTTAGTCTTATTTCAAAATCTTTTAATGGCCACCTTATGTAAATACATCTTACCCTATTCAAACCAGCCAATCAGGAGTAGATTATGAGTAGGAGCTCAACCATTCAGAGCAGAGGGTCAGGGCCTGCTGCATTAGGGATAAACAGGGAGCAGCCTGCCTGCTCTGTGTGCTTGCAGGCCAGATTTCTAGTTGATGGCACACCCTTTTTCAGAAGTAAAATTTGCCTTGTGGAGACAGTTCTTTAGTTTTGTGTCTATGGCTATGACTCGGGTGATTCTTGGAGAGCATCTTTATAACATCTGGAGTTTGGAATTGTAAGGCAGCCAGTTATAGAGGATGGGCTGAGATGCTCAGAAATGGCCTGTCATGGGGGGGAGGGGGGAGGCTGGGAAGGGAGGTGAAGGGTAAACAAAGGAGGAGGCTGCAATGCTTGGTAAGAAATGTATGCATTTTTCTGCCCATGTAATTGTAACCCCTCTGTACAGTATGTTCTCAAATAAAATTAAAAAAATAAAAAATAAAAATAAAAAAAAAAAAGAAAATACCATCACATTTTAAATTTTATGTGAGCTGTGAAAATTATTTTCTTCTCTTTGGAAACATTTCTCAATGAAATAATTGATGACACCAGTGATTACTGGTACAATCAGATTTCCTTGATCTTACAATGATGTTCCCATATCTTCCAGTCTCGAAGTGCTCTTTCAAATCTTTCACCATGTACAGTATATTACATGTTACCTATTGCTTGGAAGAAAAAAAGAAACTTCAAAATTTCATTTCTCTACATAAAAGTAAGAATTGATTGCTTCCTAGGTTCTATGGATTCAAAATTTGGGAATATCTTCATTGATTAGTTTCTATAATGGAGCAGTCAAAACAAAAGGGTATAGTTCTCTGTGAGCTTAACTGAATAGGTCTTCTACCATGAAGGTTTTCTTCTCTGGCAAACGGTCATGTTTATTGGAAGGAGACCTTGATTTCTAACCTTATAGATTATTCAGCATAGCTAACTAACACTGTAACTAGCCTTTCCCTAATTGAGGGAAAGATAATGTAACAATGTCCTTCTTGTCCTAATTCTCTTCATGGTATAGTACAACCCTAATAGTTTGGAAGGTACTAGAGAAGAGAGAGATTATAAGAAAGTGCCCATCAGTGGGTTCCTTCATAGACAGGACTATCACAAGACCAACATAATACACACAGGAACATGAACCATACAGAAACTCAACATCAAACAGCAGCACCCAGGCAGTGAGGACATAAATTCATGATCAACATAGGAAATACCTTCAGTACTTTAAAAAAAACAACAACAAACTTCCAATCTCCCTTAAAAATATTTTTATATTTAGTTTGGGGAAAGAAGATAATTACTAAGCAGAAGACTTCCTAAAAATATTAAATATCAATGGCATGTAGAATATAAAAGTAAAAAATGTAAAAAATAGATCTAAATCACCAACATGGAATCAATATTCGTACTAACATAAGACTCTGAGTTAGTATTTACTGTGTGTTTTCAGAATTATTCTTGCAAAAGTGGCTATGGCTTCTAGAGTCACCTTATCACATTTTCAATAAAAACAAAAAGTCTGCATTGTGTAAAAATTTTTAAAAAAAAAAAAAAAAGAAATGGCCTGTCATGGCTCACAGGACAAATATACCCATCTTGAAGAAAGCCTGAGTTAATCTCTTGAGGTCATTGAACTGATTGAATTAATGCTATCTAGATGATCTAGATTTTTTTTCTCTTACTTCAACACAACTAATTATGGAGTTTACCCATCTCTGCAAAATACCTTCATAGCAACTCTGAGGGTAGTGTGATTGAATAATTGGGCACTGTGGCTTGGGTATTTTGGCACACAAAACTGGAATCAGAGTGGTAAGTTGGTGTGCAACACCTCACTTCAAGGATCTGTGAAATTCAGGCTTTGTCCTGCTACAAATTCCAAAGCCTTTATAACTATTAAAGTGAGATGAATAGACTCTTTAAATAACTGATCTTTGTAAATCATACTTAGGTTAATGTAATTATATGTATATATATACACACATAAATTATGTATTTCTTCCAGTTCTGTGTTTGTTTTATCAACCATGACAGGTCCAGAAAGAACAACTGGAGATAGTGAGCAGACAGAACTTTTAAACCTTAAGTAGGCGCTGTTGGCTCACACTTATAATCCTAGTTACTCAGGAGGCAGAGATGATGGTTCAAGCCAGCCTGGGCAGAAAAATCCATGAGAATCTTATCATCAGGTGGCAAACAAAAACCCACAAGTGGAGCTGTGTCTCATTTGGTAGAGTGACAGCCTTGATTTTAAAAGCTAAGGGAGCACTCATTGGCTGTGAGTTCAAGCCCTAGTACAGTACACACACACATACACACACACACATGCACACACACACAAGCAAGTGTACAAACCTTGATTTAGAGATGAATATTTTATTTTTGGTTTATTATTGTTTTGTTACGTTATTTTTCTGTACCTTCTACAAATATACCTCAAACCTCTGCTGTGGTTTGCGAGGCACAGGTTTAAGGTCCTGGGAGATTTCATGGAATGAAACAACTTCTGCTTCCCTCATTCTTTTAATCCAGTGGAAGATACACTAGGATAAATGAAATGACAACCTAAATTGACAGCAGCGACAAGGAGTAGAAAGTGACATGGGTAAGGGAGCGGGGAAGATGCAGAGCTGACAGTAAGGTGTAGCAAAAAATGAAGTATCAGTGTCTCCCATTCAAAAACAGAAAAACAATGCTGCTGAATTTGCTAAAATATAAAACCTTTCCCCTTTTGACACAAATCTCTTTCTGGAAAATGCATATAGTGTTTTATTATTTGCTATTTAATGGTACCCTAAGTTAAAAAATTAATGAAAATTTGGACTCTTGGCATGGGTTTGCCATTCATCTTTTTACAGTATGGTGCTCACGTTCAATGCCAAGGGAGCTTATGGAATTTGTACTCCTTGGTTCAGAGAGTATTTTGATTTTATCATGTAGTCAACATGTGTCTGAAGCTGACCTGCTGTATTTATTTTACTTCTTATACTGGAGCCTCTTCCTTCACCTTTGGCTCTCTGTTGAAGAAGGTTGGACTTGAAGGAGAAAGAACTGAGGCAGCTTGGCGTTTGCTTTCCTTCTCTGCCCTTAGTTTCCATTCGGGCAAGATACATGAATGGGAAAAGGTAGGCTAGGCTTCCTTGATCAATCATGTTTCTCAGAACACAATGCAATTGTTTATTCATATAAAAAAAGTTCTGATTCCAAAGCATGTCCTCTTGGAGCTCTCTGGAGCCCTCCTCACTCATGTATGGGCTTAACTGATGACTTTTTTTTGGGGGGGGGCTTGAACTCAGGGCCTCAGTGCTGTCCTTGAGCTTTTTCTTTTTTTCTCAAGGCTAGTTCTTTACCACTTGAATCACAACTCCACTTTTGGCTTCTTGGTGGTTGATTAGAGATAAGAGTCTCACAGACTATCCTATCCAGGTTGGCTTCAAACTGTGATCCTTAGATCTGGGCCTTCTGAGTAGCCACCTGCCCATGGTCAGCTGATTACCTTCACTTACTCTGATTCTTGCTTAATTGCTACATGTCATGGGCCTATCAGGATTCTGTCCTAGGACATCACTGTTGCCAATGGGTGTCAAGGATTGGGGAAGCACAGTTGTAAATATCTACTCACAAACGTGCTCCATTCTGTCATTCAATTTCATTTTCAAGCTACAACTTCAAAGATAAAGTACTACAGTTTCAAGATGGCAACATTAAAGCCAAGTGCTCTAAAGTGAGCCTGCAGCCCTTGTGAGTGTGGAGCTCACCTGAGATAACACAGGTTGTATGTTCATGAAGCCTGTGTGTGCGTGTGTGTGTGTGGGGTGTTCTTTTAAATACTACTGATGAAAAATGACATCTGATCAGTATCTTCAGTAAGTGGAGCAGCCAGGCTGTAGTAACAGGAGTGGCATGTTCATAGGTCCCAAGGGATCTGGCTTATTGTCAAAAGAGTAAGGAGGATACTAGCTGGTGGGATCCACAAATGAGAGATCAAGGACTGGACATGGACTCAGAGAGGTAATGGCTTCTTGGTTTACTCAGGGCCTCAAACAACAAGGAAAGGACTTCTGTGATGAGATGTCTGTGATGAGCTGGAACACAAAAGAGTGTTCACTCAGAGCTACAACATGGGCAAACAAAGTTTGAAGGATCCCTCTGGCTTCTGAGAGACAATGGTTTGTACAGAGTTAGGGTCAGAAGTGATCAGACAATAGACTAAGCAGACACAGACTTGATCTTGGTAGCATGAATAGCAATCATTAAATGTAGCTAGATTTGAAGCATTATTATTATTTTTTACAATTAGTGCCATTAAAAGTTGCATATAGAATGGTTCCTTAGGATTTTGGCCTAAGAAAACAGAATAATATGATCGAGTGAGAGGTAGTAAAATTCCCAAGCTTCTCCAGCTAGAGCAGGAAAGAACTGGGGAAGGCTGAGACCAGAAGCCCAGAGTGCGAGTTTCTCAACCATTCTTTTTCTTCTATGGTATCTCCGGACTTCCTGCACAATACCTTCTTCTACACATCCCTTTCTAGCCCTGCTTACTGGTATAGTGGAATACATCTCCAGGAATTCACCTGTGGCACCTTGGAAAAGTTTAGGCCCAAAGGTCCTGAGTGTTCCACTGCGAACTTACCTGTTCATGGTTGGTCTCTGTTTGGGGGTTAGATGTCTGCCTCAGTTATGTTTTGATATGTTTGTCATTTTGATAGAATCGTGCCCTCTCCATTTAGCAACATCTCTTGGCCCGGATTACTAAAACACTCCCAATATGCCAAGGATTTTGCTAAAGTTCGATGTACGCTTGCACCATGGCCCAGTCTAGTGTTTTAACTCAGTATTCTTTTTCTGTGTTTTAGCACTTTCAGACCATGCTGAAGTCTAAATTGAATGTCCTCACACTGAAAAAAGAACCTCTCCCCGCAGTCATCTTCCATGAGCCAGAGGCCATAGAGCTATGCACCACCACATCACTGATGAAGATGAGGACCCACAGCGGATGCAAGGTATGGGGCACATGGCCAGACTCAAGAATGTGTGCCTGTCAACAGGAGGCTTTGCTTCACAAGGCTGTTCATTTTTAAGGATGCAGATATAAAACAGACAACCAAATAAGCTCATGGAGTGATAGCAGTATGAATTCATATCTAAATGATATAACACTCTTATCATTTGGGGGAGGACACGTTAACCACACAGATTTTAGTATGTGTGAATAGAATAGTATATTTGCTGCATTTTCAATAGCTGTATTGAACTGGATTTGCATTTCATAGGGAAAATTTTATCCATAGTGAGAAGCCCTCCCTTGCAATCTAAATAAAGCCTACCTTACAGAAGACAAACAAAAAATGAAACTATACCAGCAGCCCCTAAAGTGTTTTAACAATTAATTGTCCTTTGGGGACAATTTTGCATATTTGCTTTGTTTCTACTCTCAAGAATCCTTCTAATATTCATGCCTCAGTATCTAAAAAAAAAGGCATTTTTCATTTATGCAAACTACAATGCTGACATGGAGACAAAACTGGAAACAAAATGTATGATTTGGGTATGCTATTGGATTCTTTTTTCTATGCTATTCTTAGTCTTTATTTCGTTGTGTTTTTTTTTTTTTTTTTGCTTGAGTTGGTGGATAGAGAAGGAGGTTTAGAGTTAATAGGGAGAATATGTTTTATGTATATTCCATCAGAAATTGTTGAATAGAAGAAAAGATAATAAGGGGGAAAAGGAAAAGCACATTTATTTGCATGTGGATTTCTTTTAAAACCGTGTGGATCCATTCCTTTCCCTACTGCTTATTGTCAGGGAACAGTCCTTGCATAGCTGTGGTCAGGTTGGATCTCCAGCAATTTGGGGTGACAGTGGTTATGCTTAAAACCTCACACATTCATTCATCCTGCAGATGCTGACTGAAAGTTCACTCTGTGCTACACACAGGGGCTAGGGCCAAGACTGGGAAAGACCCAGTTGTGGAATTCTACTGCTACTTTAGAAACAGCGGAGGAGGAAATGCAGGTAGTAAGCCCTAATTGGTGAGGAAACCTATTCCTTCCTTCCTTCCTTCCTTTCTCTCTTTCTCTCTCTTTCTTTCTCTATTTCTGTCTCTTTCTCTCTTTCTGTCTCTTTCTTTCACTTCTTTCTCTTTCTTCCTCCCTTCCTTCCTTCCTTCCTTCCTTCCTTCCTTCCTTCCTTCCTTCCTTCCTTCCTTCCTTCCTTTCTCTCTCTCTCTCTTTCTTTCTCTATTTCTGTCTCTTTCTCTATTTCTGTCTCTTTCTTTCACTTTGTTTCTCTTTCTCCCTTCCTTCCTTCCTTCCTTCCTTCCTTCCTTCCTTCCTTCCTTCCTTCCTTCCTTCCTTCCTTCCTTCCTTCCTTTCTTCCTTCCTTCCTAATTACATTAGAAAGTGATATGAGATCGAATGTATTGAACACCCTTTGGAAGATTTCCTAACGTCATTCTGAATTCTCTTCCTATCAGAGAAGATGATACCTCAACCCAAGATGAAGTCGGTAGGGACAAGAATAAGGAGAATTTAGTTCGATCAAATCTGCAGGTGTGCTTTAAATGAGAAGGAGATAAATAAATAGCCACAGCACAGAGCAAAAAACTTAGCAGTCTAAAGATGAGTTTGTGTGTGTGTGTGTGTGTGTGTGTGTGTGTGTGTGTTGGGAGAGGACAAACAGAACAATAGAGACAGAGAGATGAACAGATATAGAGAAATAGAGATAAGAGACAGAGACAGAGAGACAGATATAGAAAGAGACATACACAGAGAGGGATAGATGTAGAGACAGAGAGGGAAAGAGACTGAGAGATAAATATTTGGTAGTGGATGAAACTATCATTTTTCTGACAAGGAATTTAGAGTTCAAGATTTATGGACTTTTTCTCCCTATGTACTGCTTTAAGTTGTGTTCATTTATCTTGCTTATAAAAGGACATTGACAAAAACAGAGAATAGGAGTCCAGGAGAGGATGTCAGAGGAGGCACCAGTGTGTGTGTGTGTGTGTGTGTGTGTGTGTGTGTGTGTGTGTGTGTGTGTGTGTGTGTGTGTGTGTGTGTGTGTGTGTGTGTGTGGTCCAGCTAGACAAAGGGACATCAGCATGATTTCAGCTGAACACAGGAAAGGCTTCTGCATTCAAGGTGAAAACCACATTTCACTGGGCTATAAAAATTTATGAACTCTCCATCCCTAGAAATTGTGAAGAGGAGGTTCCAGGCATGGATAATTGTTATCCTGGAGTCTGGGATCTGAGCCAACACCACTTGAGGTCCTTTCTCACATTATCATCTGATCTGAAGGAAGAAAACCCTCATCGTGTGGGTCTCCAAACTGTATATTATCAACCTGATGCCTTTAAATTTTAACTACAGATGGACTGGAATTACTCTCCTCCATTTTCAAGGACAGTATCATGCCTGTGTTCAAAATCATAGTCCTTTGTTTTAAAGAAATGGTTAGATTTTGGAAGCTTGGCATTTCTGTTTCAAATTACCATACTGTCCCCAATCCATCCTCCCTCCAACCCCCAATCATCTTCAAGAACAAAGTCCAGTGTTTCTCCTCTGATCCTTGCCAGTGAGAAACTTAGCTCACAAGATACCAGCTGCAGAAGGGATTCCCATGTGAAGAATGAACACAATGTACGCCTGGTCCAGCTGCCAGGCCTGGGATTTGGGACCCTCCATCTTTATACAGAATGTATTCTCCTTATTTTTCTTTTTTCCCCCTCTAATAGTTCTCAGGTTGCTTGCATAACTTTGAGGTTGGGGAAGGAAAGAGGCAGGAAGAAGAGAAGGAAAGGGGAGTGGAAAATGGGCTTTGGTTAGTACCACAGAGACCCTCGCTCATCTCAGATTTCTCATTTCCCTCTGATCTGTATTCTCAGTGGGTCCTAGCGGGATAGACTTGCCAAGCTATTCATGTTTTGGGCAGCTGGGTCTTTGTGAATTCTCCTCTATTGCTGCCACTTTTTTTTTTTCTTCCTGGAGTGCAGTTATTTAACCGTACAACCCACTGCATCCTATTAGCTCTCATGTTGGAGCTGTTTTGACTCCAAGGAGCTGGGTACAATTTTTCCGCAGTGAAGATGACTTGTCACATCTCTCTCCTGCCTACTTCTGTCCACAGAGCTGGGTGGCCTCATTGCAACAGCAAACATTTCTGGAATTAATACTCACTGAAGATTTACCCTGAGTGTGGGGGTCATGAAGAAAGGGATCAAAGCGGGTGCAATGTACAGCCAAGTAAGAGGAATAAGATGAGTGCCCAAATAAATAAGTCACAACCACTTCTGAAACTTGGGTGTGTATCAGCATATCTGCGGGCAGGCAAGTTCCTGGCACATTAGTTCTGGTGCTCAGCTCCGTGGTGGAGAATAGTAGCATGCGCTTTAAAATGCACAGTGTAAGTTCTGTTGAGGTGGACTGTGTTTAGAGCTTGAAGACCTGAACTACAGTTCTGTGTGATAAGAGTTATATTACATGTGATCTAAAAGGACACATACCCTGGGAGGTGGAGGGTGGGGTGGAAATGGTGTGAAGGCTTATGGGCAGGGGGTGGGGGTGGGGATCAAAATGGATTTGCCACCATAGAGAAGACACAGTCTTTGAAGGAAGAACTAGATGGGTGCCTGGTGCATCTCACCACATCCTTTAGGGGTGCTGTCCGGTTTTATATCACCTCACTTCCGAGTTTATATATAGTCCAGAGTTCCCAGACCCTCCTAAAATAATGCTAATGATCAATGATAATGAAATTGCTAATACAGAAATAATGATGCTGGAGTCACAGATGTTTGTTAATACATGACACACTTTTTATTTATGTATTTATTTATTATTATTGGTGCCAATCCTGGGCCTTGAACTCAAGGCCTCAGTACTGTCCCTGAGGGACATTGCTAGTGTTCTTCCACTTGAGCCACAGCTCCATTTCCAGCTTTTTTGGTGGTTAATTGGAGATGAGTCTCACAGGCTTTCCTGGCTGGACTGGCTTCAAACAAGGATCCTTCGATCTGGGCCTCATGTGTAGCTAGGATTATAGGAGTGAGCCCCGCACACCTAGACAGGAAACACTTTGAATACATTTGGTTTCACGGTGTAGAACGCCCTCCTCGTGACAACTCAATGGTTTAATAACCATAGGCAGATCCATAGTGCAGATGAGCCAGCTGAGGCATGGCAGAATTTCTAAGCCTGTTTTATGTCACTCAGTGAGTAATTGACCCTTAGTAGTCTGAATTTGAACTTGTGGTCACTTTCATTAGATTGCAACATCTTTCCCCAACAATGGAGACACCCCACTATGCTCATATGCTCATGGCCTAGAAAGAGAGAGAGAGAGAGTGAGAGAGAGAGAGAGAATCTCTCCAATTCTCAATGTTAATGGCATACTTCTAAGAGTTTTCATTACCTCTCTGTAATGCCATGACCTGGGAACAAGCCTTCAACATGAGCTTTTTTGGGGAAACACTGAATTCCAACCCACAGAGGCAGAGCACGTATACTACTCTCCTTTCTGTGTGCGACTTGTTTCAATTCACCAAATTCCTCTCGTTCCATCCATTTTCTGCAAAGAATAAGATAGAATATTTCTGTGGCAGAACAATATTTCATTACGTGCACATATCACATATTTTCCATTCATCCACTGATGAGCATCTAAGCTGATTCTATGTCTTAGCTATTGTGAATATTGGAGCAACGTATATGGTGTGCGGGTATCTTCTTACATACTGTCATTATTTTCTTTAGATATATGGCCAGAAATAGCAAATTGTACCATATAGTAGATCTTGAGGAACTTCTTTACTATTCGGTGTAATGGCTATATGATTCACATATCTTTTTGTTGTTGTTGTTGTTGGTTGTGGGGCTTGAACTCTGGGCCTGGGCGTTGTCCCTAAGCTCTTCAGCTCAAGGCTATATGATTCACATTTCTATCAACAGTGTCTGAGTTTCCATTTCTCCAGACCCTCACCAGAATTTGTTACCCTGTGGTG